TCAGCTCTTACCGACTTGGGAGAGCCAATTACTACACTGTTCAGTGTGAACTTTTTACACTTCAGAAATCAGCAAACACAACAATTCAGGAATCGATTATTGTTTTGTTGATTATCTGGACTTAAGAAAGTGATGCAGAAAATGTTAATGATACAGCTTCAATGTTAAACATTTAGTAGTCTAGCTCTGGGGTCAGTCATCTCCAGAAACAAGTTGACCACTCATCCCTGCTCACCCTAGGAAGGGCAGGCTCCTCAGACGATAATGGGGTGTGTGCCCAGTGTGAGGAATTAGCAAGGGTCTGACCCTACCTTCTTTAGAGGAGATATTTCAACTTAGAGGCTGTTGTTTATAGGCTTCTCATGGGGTGTTGGAAGCTCAGCCTACCAGACCGAAGGGGCCTGGGACCAAGATGGGAAAGGCCCAAGCATATGGGACACCTTTACTCATCGCCAAAAGGGGAGGGTTTTCATGAACCAGACAGCTGATTCATCTTGTGAAAGCTACTACAAAACCCAAGTGAGTATAGGGTTTTGCTGACTCTTTCCCCCTCAAAGAGAAGAGATAGAAGGGAGGGGTAGGGAAGACAGAATAGAGGAGTAGACAGAAAACTGGACTTGAATTTGAATCCTGGCTTTGCCACTTTCTAGCTATGTGACCTTGGACAAGTCAGTCTCTCTGAGCCTCGGTTTTCTCATCCAGGGAGTCCTGGACCCAATTCCAACCCCTAACACATACTGGTTATGTGATCTCCTCCCTCCAAACAAACACAAAAAACCCAAATCTGTGAGTGTAGAATACCACTGGGAATTGAGAGACTAGAGTTCTAGTTCTGATTTCACCTCTAAGCTTGGGCTAGTCACAACCTCTCTGGGTCTGTTTCCTTATATCTAACAGAAATGGGTTAGAAGAGATAATATCTTGGGTTCCTTCTAGTTCTGACATTCCATATTATAAATACCTTCTTTTTATAGGTGAAGAAACTGTAGGAACTAAGGGACTGCTAAAGACCCCATATCTGTCAATTGAAAGATTTGGAACCAAACCCCAACACCTCTGACTATTAGCCATTACATTTTCTGCTACCCAAGGCATAGTTCTCTGGGGTTTTAGGTCAATTTCTGCTGTGCCTAATAAGTGACATTATAATATCTTTCTCATTTCCCCACCTCAGCAGTTCTTCCTCTCTCTATTACAGGATGATATCAAATTATTGAAAGAGTTGAATGTTAGTCACTATCGAATTTCTATATCCTGGCCTCGGTTGATACCCACAGGGGTCAAAGGTAAGTGGGTCAGAACATTCCCCAATGAAATGATGCCCTTATTAGGCTACAGTCCCTGAAAAGACCAAATGGTAACAAGAACACATAGTCAAAATGCTTGTTTAACATCCACCTCTATTGTTTATTCAGATGCAATAGAAGGGACTATTAGTAAAGTTCCATGCTTTGGCTGACAAGCAGGTTCCAAATTTTGCTTACCTCAAAGTAATGATTGCTAAGTCTCATTCTCTTGTAGTTCAGGCCACAGGTAAATAGAACCTTTTATAAAAATAGTAATACCTAACAGCTCCTAGGTAAAAGAAGTATCACTTACAAGAGGTAAGAAATTTGGGGAAAGGCTAGATGCAACATTTTCAGGGAGATCAGTCTGTTTTGGAACTCAGCTGTCCACTATTGGGGTAGAGTGATGAGGAAAAGATCACCTATTTTGTGTATCAACTGTAGTAAATGTTTAACGACTCATTCTGTTAAAGAAAACACTGTATTCTGAGTTTTGCAAGGCACAAGTCTGCCAGAAAAAAATTATTTACTTGATTATCAATCTGATATCAAAGCATTTCTAGCTTAGAGAGAGAGATGTCCAAACTGGAATATTTCTTCCATGTCCACAGATATGTTTCTCTACCCCAAGATGATTTGAGATAAAATTTATGGGAATTTTGAAAAAGAAAAAGATCATAATATGTTAAAATATAATTTTAGTTCAAATTCCAGAATAATAATAAATACTCAGTTCCTACCTCGCCTTCTCCCTTCAAGAATTGAAAAGCATTTCTTCCCAATGGTCCATATTTTTCCTTTCTGAATGGAGGGATGGGCCTTAGCTTTAGTAAATGGAGAAAAAAGGACTGCCCTTAGATGTTGGTCCTTGATTTTTTGAAGAGGACCAATGATGTCACAGTGATGTCTTGACTTGCCAGTGAATTGGATTTAAGTGAGGCAGAGTTGTGCGATCTTCAGCCTCATTTTCTCTTCCTGAGTCATTGAAGTCCCAGGACAAAAGTCAAGATGACTGGTGATGGCCCAGGGTGCAGCGGACGACCTTGGCACCTTCAGTGCCTGACCAAACTCTAAGCAGTGCTCCTCAGCGCCTGCTTCAGCCGCCTTCATGGCTGTTGGAATAAGTTGTTCTTGTCCACCCATTCTGCCAGGGAAAGTCTTTACGTGCTTGGGGTAGACATCCCCCTAACTCGAGGACTGGTTTGAGGCCTGTCATTTAAATCACTTCTGGAGGCAAGGCTTTTATTAGGCTACTGGTACTCGCGGTTAAAAGGCTGACATCTACTCTTAATCCATTTCCTTAAAAAAGGCCTTTTGATTTGTCTTTACATCATGACTAATGTGAAAATATGTTTAATATGAATGCGTAAGTAGAGCCTATATCAGATTGCACACTGTCTTGGGGAATGGGGAAGAGAAGAATGGGGAGAAAATTTAAAACTCAAAATCTTATGGAAGTGAATGTTGAAAACTAAAATCAAATTAATTTTTTTTTAAAAAAGGCCTTTCATCTTTGACCTAACCCACCTTCAAACAAGGAAGTCTGAAAAGGATTTTACAACAGAAAAGTATTATTTCTTAATATTTTCAGCTTTTTTTTTGCCATCTTAGAAAGCCTTTACTAAGAAAGGAGGCTTTAAATAGAAGCCACAGAGTGGTACAGGGTATATAAAGCCATTGAAGCTGGAGTCAGGAAGGTCTGAATTCACCTTGGGCCTCCTCAGATGCCCCATAACTAACTCTATTTGTCACAAGTCAATTCAATAAACACACTACTAAATGCCAGACTTTGTGCTAATCATGTTGGATACAGAGAAATACTAAAGGCAGTCCCTGGTATCAAGGAAATCAGAATCAAAGTGGGGGTGGGGAGGACAACCTGCAAACACGCAAACAACCATTTACAGACAGTCCTACATATACCTACAGGATAAACTGGAGAGAATCCACCTTCCAGACTATTTTGAGGATAAAATGAAATGAGCTTGTAAAAGGCTTCGCAAACTTTACAATGCTATATAAATGCTGGCTATTATCATGTGCTTTCCCAATTCGTTCATGAATTTATACATTCAATGAACAATTATTAATGACCTTATGTGTAGAATAGCCTTGAACTAGGTGCTGGGAATGCAAAAATGAAAAACAGGCCCTGCGCCCCAACAGTAAACGAACAAGTGAATAAAAGATAATCTGAGGAACTGGAGAGCGTGACCAATTAGCAGGGGTATCTCTAGAGACAGATGATCCTCCAAGTAAGCCAAGGAGTTTAAGAAGAGTTGATTAGGAGGAAGCGTATTGGTGGGATGGGAGATAAATGGAAGGTGGTGGGGGATATGGTACAGTTAGGTGGTGCCATAGTGCACACAGTGCTGGACCTGGAGTCAGGAAAACATGGGTTCAAATGAAGCCTCAGACATTTATCAACTGTGTCACCCTGGACAAGTTGTTTGACCTCTGTTTGCCTCAGTTTCCTCATCTGTAAAATGAGGATAATAATAGCACCTGCCTCCCAGAGTTGTTGGGCACTAGGTGGCGCAGTGGATAGAGTACCAGGCCTAGAGTCAGGAAGACTCATCCTCATGAGTTCAAATCAGGCCTCAGACACTTAGTAGCTGGGTGACCTTTGGCAAGTCACTTACCCCTGTGTGCCTTAGTTTCCTCATCTGTAAAATGAGCTGGAGAAGGAAATGGCAAACCACTCTATTATCTCTACCAAGAAAACCCCAAATGGGGTCATAAAGAGTTAGACACAACTGAAATGAACAACAACGTTATTAGGATCAAATGAGATAATGATAGTAAAGATCTTAGCACAGTACCTGGCACATAGCACTCTATAAATGCTATTACCTATTATTATTGCTTTTATTATTATTATTATTAATTACATGGAATGACTTGTTTGGAGAACAACAGATCTATTTGACTAGACCATACTATACAAGAAGGTAATAATGTGATGTAAGTCTGAAAAGGTAGACAAGACCCAGAAAGTACAGTATTTTGAGAGTAGGTAGGAGGGGTTTATATTTTATCCTAGAAGCAAGAGGAGGGAACCATTGGAGATTTTTAAGCAGGGACTTGACCCTCTCTGACCTTATGCAGGAAGAGGACGGGAAGCTTTAGGTCCCAAATCCACCAATAACACGCTTCCTTTTCTCTTTCTAACAGCAGACTATGTGAACGGCAAGGGCGTCAAGTTCTACAGTGATTTCATTAACACTCTTTTGGAAAATGACATCACACCTATTGTGACCCTCTACCACTGGGATCTTCCACAGGTCCAGGGGACAATAGGGGAGGGGGTGTAGAGTCAGGACCTAAATGGACAAGGAGGCAAGAGAAATGTCCATTTTCCTCACAGATGGTGGGTTGAAAGAGATCTTTGCACTGATATTTGGCCCAGGGGTCTTAGAAAATGAGAAAATGAGAGCTATGGTTATGTACATATATGTATACATATTATTTGTGTATTTGTGCATGTGTGTACAAGGTGTCCCAAAAGTCTAAGGACCTGTTACCATTTTATTTATTATTTATTTTCCTGTTATTAAAAGCTTAAAATGGTATTAAGATTTTTGGGACACCCTGCATATAAACATATGTGTTTGTTGCATGTGCCAATGACACGTATGAGGTGTGGGCCCTTGAGAAAATTACTTAATCTTTCTACTCCCCGGCCTTTTCTCTAACACGATAAGTTATAGAGTAAAATTGTCCATTTGCATTTGATAGAGGGAATTTCTACTTGAATCCCCTATTTGGATGAAATTATGGGTCCTGATTTAAAATAAATATATGTGTGTGTGTTCGTGTATGTGTATACACATAATTATATAGTAGAAAGATAATGCTGGTTTGGGGGTAAAGTCAACAAATTTTTTTAAGCACCTACTCTGTGCCAGAGACTGTACTGCTCTCTGGGGATACAAAGAAAGACCAAAAAGCCCCAGCCCCTTCCCTCAAGGAACTTACAATCCAATGGGGGACAACATGTAAACAACTATGTACAAACAAAATATAGACAGGAAAAAATGGAGATATGACGTGAGGTAAAGAAAGGCGACTTTGTTGGAGTTGGTGTCTTTCAAACCATTTCAAACAAAATGAGCTAAAGAATAGGCTTTATTTTTTTTTGTCTCGACATATTGTAATACTCTCGTGTTATTAACTAGCTAGTTTATTAACTAGCCACTTAATTGCTCTGAGCCTTAGTGTCTTCATTTATAAATTGTCATCATAGAATGTTATAGCCCAAAGGAACCTTTTGGAATGAACTAGATGAGTGTCCACAATCTTTTCAAATTTGAAGGCCATTTTAAAAATATTTTTTTCAATTAAGAAAATAAAGGATTTTCTTTCTTCCCTTGTCTTTCCAAAACCATTTGGAAAGAAGAAAGAAAGAAAGCCCTTATAACAAAGGTGAATAGTTAAGCAAAACCAGTTTCCATATTGGCCATGTCCAAAAATGTATGTGAAGATCTTATTTTAATGTCAAAAAAATATCAAAGACCTTTACATGACCTCGGCTGAAAAATTCATCATCCTGTAACCATGCTGGTGAAGAACCTTTCCAAATTTAGCTAGGTTGGTCTTTGAACAACAGGTACTGTTCTTAGGCCTTGACTTTAAAATCTTTCCAGCTTGGTAGATACCATCATTGCTTGCATGGTACTGGCGAGTTAGCATTTAAGAATTGGGTGGCCTCTTCAATATGCAGAGGCACTGGAGTAAGACTTAGAGGCTTTAATGGAAATAATAACCTCGATTTCTTTTCTCATCTCATTTCCCTCTTCTTTTTCCATCATGCATTCTAGCTTTCTGGCTAAGCTCCTCTCCTAATTTTTTTTTATTCCTTTTATATTTTTATACTATTTCTCCAGTTCCAGAGTACCTTTTTGCTCATATCATATACCTTTAACAAGATTTCCTTTTGACAAGACTCCATAAGACACTTTCCTTATGACTATAGGTTTTTTGTTTGTTTGTTTTTTGGGGGGTTGGTTTTTTTTGTTTGTTTTGTTTTTATGGGTTTTTTTTGGTTTTTGTTTGTTTTTTTGTTTTTTGCTACAGCAAATGGAAAAGGCCATCCACAGTGGCACAGTGGATAGAGCACAGGACCTGGAGTCAGAAAGATCTGATTTCAAATTTGGCCTCAGATACTTACCAACTGTGTGACCCTGGGCAAGTCACTTCACCTCTGTCTGCTTCAGTCTCCTCAACTAAAATGGAGAGCATAATTGCACCTTCCTCCCAGGGTTGTTGCAAGGAGCAAGTGAGATAACAAAGTACTTAGCACAGTTCTTGGCACATAGTAGACCTTAATAATTGTTTCTTCCCTTCCCCTTCCCTTTCTTTCCCAACTGGCTTCCAAATAATGTCTTTCGTGATGCTGTCCTCAGAGATGTACTTCTCTCTCCCCTCCTCTGCATCCAGATGCTTCAGGTGAAATTTGGAGGTTGGCAGAATGTAAGCATGGTCACCTACTTCAATGATTATGCCAATCTATGCTTTGAAAAGTTTGGGGACCAGGTAAAGCATTGGATAACTTTCAGTGATCCTTGGGTAAGTTGAATTATTTTTCTGAGCTATGGACCCTACTTTCAAAATTTTTTTTAAATTGATCTTTTGTTTCTATATTGCCTAGATTTCCTCAAATATCCCTCTGTCTCACCCCTCCAAAGAATACAACCCCACTCTTTTAACACTGATTTTCACAGCTATTTCCCCACTAACTGAGGTTCCTCCTCCTTATTCTTCTAGTCAGTTGCAAAGGAAGGCTATGAGACAGGGCGACATGCACCTGGACTGAAGCTCAGAGGTACTGGGGCATACACAGCAGCGCACCATATCATTAAGGTAAAAATGAAAGACTGAAATCCTCACTGGGTTGTAGACTAAGGCTGAGGGAGGGAGAGGACGCCTCAAAGCAGAAGCACACTCAGTACTGTCAGGTCTCCATATCCCTTTTACCTCATACCTTACTCTCGTATATTACTTTAACATGTTAGATAATGATCCATTGGCCTATGTATGCTGATTAAACAAGTATTTATTGAGTTACTACTCCATACTCACTGTGGTGAGTGCCATGGGCAGAAATACAAAGATGTATCTATAAAACGTGGCAGCTGCTGTCAAGAAATTTCCAATGTCGGGGCAGCTAGGTGGCACAGTGGATAGAGCACTGGCCCTGGAGTCAAGAGGATATGAGTTCAAATCCGGCCTCAGACACATAACACTCACTAGTTGTGTGACTCTGGGCAAGTCATTAACCCCAGCTGCCCTCACCCCAAAAAAAAAATTCAATCTAGTTGAGGAGACAGTAAGTACCCACGTGAAACCTTTAACAACAAGGCGTGTCATTGGTTAATGAATACACACCTTCTTTTGTTTTCTCTAGTAAGATATTTAGTATTTACATAACTAAGTCAAAGTCAGCAGTACTGCTACTATACATAGTGAAGGGGCTCCCTGCCCCACAGCCAGGAGTGGCCTTCTTCCCAAAACTTTTTTCAACTCCTTTGTATATATTTGTATTTCTTTACCTTATGCTTATGTTCTCTATATTGATATTTGTTATCTTCTCCCATTAAAAGGTAACCTCCTTGTGAGTAGGCATTGTTTCATACATTGTACTTGTATCCCCAGCACCTAGCCCAGAGCCTGGCACATAGTAGGCACTTAATAAATGTTTTTTGATTGATTGGATTGGATTGTAATTAGTGGTGGACATTGAAAATGGAGAATCTGGATCTCCAGATTCCCAGCACAGTTGCCCTTCCATTGGCTATACAGAAAGTATAGCTTTTGCCTAGATGCCCCTGGGGGGCAAATCTCTGGGGATTCTAGCCAGAGTGGCCCTAGACAGAACTGAGCAGGAAGTAAAGTTCATCTTTCACATCTTGTATTTGCCCTTGATGTATTTCACATCATTGCTTGCCACCACATTCCACGTGCCCATGGGCTTCCTGTTACCTCCTTCCCCCCAACTCTGCTTCCTAGTCAAGGACTCATTACTATTGCACCCCAGTGCCTGACCTGAATGGTAATGTTCCGTCATTCAGGACAGACAAATTTGGGTGGGAAGAGAAAATCCTAGGCCCCAAATGATCTGAACTGACCTATCCTAATATGAAAAATGGGTATTAATCATTCATTAAACATTTATTAAGCATTTACTATATGCCAGACACTGTACTAAGTTCTGGGGATACAAAAAGAGGCAAAATTCTCCTGTCCTCAAGGAGATTACAATGGAATGGGGCACACAACATGCTAATAAATCTATACAAAGCAAACTATACATAGGATAAATAGGAGATATTTAATATATATTTAATTAATTTAATAGAGGGAAGGCACTAGAATTAAAAAGGGTTAAGGAAGTCTTCCTGTAGAAGTTTGGATTTGGGGGCAGCTAGGTGTGCAGTAGATAGAGCACTGGCCCTGGAGTTAGGAGGACCTGAGTTCAAATCTAGCCTCAAACACATAACACTCATTAGCTGTGTGACTCTGGGCAAGTCCCTTAACCCCAATTGTCTCACATTAAGAAAAAAAAAAGGATTTTAGCTGGGACTCTTTTAGGTAATATTTATAAGTTTAGGGGAGTTAGGTGGTACAATGGATGGAGTACCAGGCCTGAAGTTAGGAAGACTCATCTTCCTGAGTTCAAATCTGGCCTCAGACACTTACTAATGTCACTCAGGGCAGTCACTTAAACCTGTTTGCCTCAGTTTCCTCATCTAAAATGAGCTGGAGAAGAAAATGGCAAACCACTCCAGTATTTCTGCCAAGAAAATCCCAAATGGAGTCACAAAGAGTTAAACACACCCGAAACAACTAAACAACAACAAAATATTAATGTTAAGGGGGCCCCTGGGGCCAAGACCTTAACTTAAAAAGACTATAATGGGGATGTTGGAGACTATGATAAGTCAATAGGACAGATACTTGAGGGCAAGGAAGCCTTTTGGCAACCCTCAAAATTACATTGGCCTCAAGAGTCTCCTTCTAGAAAATGTAAATCATTCACATATTAGCCAAAAAATAGCATAACTTTGCAACTAGAACAAGTATCAGACTATTTCTGGCATTATGGCCAAAGACCCATCTAAGGATTAAGAGTTCCTACTATCCTGGCACTTCAAGTAGTAGTCGTGACCAAGTGGTCCAGCTGAAATACATGGAGATCTTCCCATGCAGGATGAAGTCTTGTTGGCTACCACATGGTGTTTTTATTCTTCCAAAGCCTGTTTTTCTCTGTGGCCAAACCCCAAAGAGATCTCATTACTTATGAGTACCTAGCACTCTGCTGAGTGGTCATGATAAACAATCAATAGACACTCGTAGAAAAGCATTAAATGGATGGGATCCACCAACCTTAGGGCCTTTTCAGTTATCAATTCAATGCTATTCAATGCTCATTAAATGCCTACCATGTAGTATAAGCAGTGTTATGCTGGTAAATATTTAACAACTGGCTCTTGGTGGGGAGAACATACACAATACACACATTTAATTTTAATCTCTATTACTAACATTTTCTTCATCACTGTCTTAAGTCTAGACAATCAACATAATAATCAAGCAAGCCCTGATTTATAATTTTTGCCAGTTTCTGAGGTATAAATGCTCACACTGAAAATTTAACAATGGATTCTCCTGGACTAGTCCAAGCTGGCTCCAGCACACTGAGAGTATAAGTAACAACTCTATGTTGTTACTTATACATATAAAAGATATGAAGATGGAGAATAGTTTAGCCCTGCTTAAAAAAAAGAGAGAGAGATTGTAGAGGATACAACATATGCTCAAATATTATAGAATGTGATGGGGTAAAGGTGAGATCCAGACAAGATGGATCAGGAAAATTTGAGAGAAAGATGACTTTTTGTAGGGAATGGCATCAGAAATGGACCTCAAAAGAAGAAAAGCATTTTAACACAGAGAGAAGATAGTCCACACAAATTCATTGGGGCAAGGGAGAGGAAGAGATCGCCAAGAGAATCAGCATAAAGAGGAAAAAGGACTGAGGACAGAGCCTTAGAGGACACCCAGATTCAAAGGCAAGAAGAAGCTAATGAACCAGAGAATTTCCTGTTTCTCCAGAAAAGGAGGATCAGGAAACAGTGGTGGCAGTATATTTAGCAGTAAAGGGGAAGAGATAGAAGATGATACCTTGAGGGGAGGGTCAAAGCAAGACGGAATTTTTTGTTTCCCTTTTGGGGAGATTGAGCATGTTTGTAGGAAGTAGGGAAAGATCCAGTATAGTGGGAGAGTTTGAAGATGATAGAGAAAGAATGAGATTGGGAGAGAGAGAAATGATTGGTGGCCCTAGAAGCGTTGGAAAGGGATGGTAAGCACAGGAACAAGTGGCAGTGTTAGACAAATAGCCACTTACTTTATGTCTCAGAGGCATAAATACTTCTCAAATCATTGATTTTCTATAAAGATTTGTCTGTGCTAAGCCAATAGGTCAGCTTTCTTTACTACAATATTTAGCAAAAAAAAAAAATCAGTCAACTCTATTATTCATTTATGGATTATAAGATTGGATTATATTATAAAATTATAAAATACAGACTTTAAAATTATCTACAATGAATTCTCAATCTTGGGCTGACTTGCCCCTCATCACTCAGCATGCTACCACCCAGAATCTATATTCTCAAGCAATAAATATTCATTTAATTTTAGCCCAAGAGAAACATAGCCAGAAAGATAAATATACTGAAAATTCCATTAAGCGGTGCAAAGCCAAAAAGTTTGTGGATTATCTGATGACTTGGATTACCACACTATGATTAGTCTCCATTACTGCAGATGATTTAGAACTAAGAGTGGAGAGACTGTAGACTGTGTGTAGAAGGCAGAGAAGGGAGTCACAGAAGCTGGAGTAGAACAGCTAGGCTTTATAGAGCTCTTCAAGGTTTGCAATATTAACTTATTTTTTCCTCTTGCAACAACCCTGGGAAGTAGGAGCTATTATTATCCTAATATTACAGTTGAGGAAACTGAGGCAAAGAGAAGTCAAGTGACTTGTCCCGGGTCACACATCTAGTGTCTGAGGTTGAATTTGCACTCAGCTCTTTCTGACTCCAGTTCACTGTGACACCTAGCTACCTACTAGAACTTGACCTTGAAGTAGAACTTGGTTTTGAACTATTAGAACTTGACCTTGAGTTATGGGATGACCTAAATAAAAAAGCAGGGAGAAGGTACTGAGGATAAGGTAATAAAGGGGGTTTGATAGGAAGAACAACATTCATTCAACCATTTATTAAATACCTACTATGTGCAAAGGAAGCACCGTTCTTAGTGCTAGGGAACATACACAGATACTTAAAATATGGTTCCTGCCCTCATGGTGCTTAGGAACTAGCTAGAAGCATTGTAAGAGTGTGTTCTTTTCCTTCTAGTCCCATGCAAAGGTCTGGCACTCTTACGACAAAATCTGGCGCAAAAAACAACAAGGTAAGCCTCAAACATTTAGAACCAGCAAATAGAATTGGAGCAAACATAGGCTCTATTAGGTGACACCTTCCTTTATTTTTTCCCCTTCTCCCAAAGGACTGGTGGGTATTTCATTAACTTGCAACTGGGGGGAGCCCGTGGACATTACCAACCCAAAGGACATCGAGGCTGCTGAAAGATACATGCAGTTCTGTTTAGGCTGGTTTGCAAACCCCATTTGTGCAGGAGACTACCCCCAAGTTATGAAGGACTACATTGGTGAGTAAGCTGGACTCTTCCTATCCCAACTGGGGGGGTGATGTGGTAGATTGCAATGTATGGCTAAACTGGGAATCAGAAGATCTGGGTTCTAGTCTCTGCAAGTCATTTCTTCCATTCAGACTAGACATTAATAAAGTTCAGTTTCCTTCCAACTCTTTCATTCCATAATTCTAACAGAATAGGCAACTAGGTGGTGCAGTTAATAGAGAACTGGGCTTAGAATCAAGAAGACTCACCTTCATGAGTTCAAATCCAGCCTCAGACCCTTACTATCTGTGTGACCCTGAGAAAGTCACTTCACCATTTGCCTCAGTTTCCTCATCTGTAAAATGAGCTAGAGAAGGAAACAGCAAGCCACTCTAGTATCTTTGCCAAGAAAACTCCAAATGGGGTCATGAAGAGTCTGACACAACTGAAAAACAACCAAATAACAACAAATAGAATAGTCATGAACCTACTGTTACAGTGTTTATGTGAAAAGAATAAAAAGCTGGGGAAATAGAAGTAAGATAAATGGTAGTAAATGGCCTAGATAGGCCATAAACTGGATAATAAGTCACCAAAGAATAGAGAATTAACTGTTTCTATCTGGATAACAACCTAAGCATACTGAGAAAATGAGCTCACCAATTACTTAGAGATTTTTTTTTATTCCTGTATTTTCTTCCTTTTTTATTTCTTTCTTCTTGTCCCCCAAACAATCTCTCATCCCTTTCTTCTCTTTTAAACTGCAGGAAAATGAAAGGGGAGTAAAATTTTTATGTGGGCTTGTTTGTTTTTGTTTGCTTTTTTGAGACTGAGTCTTCCTATCTTGCCCAGGTGACAGTACCAGGACCACTTGTGGGCCCAATGTATGATTCTGAAGGACTCACCACCCAGAAAGATATAGTCCAAGAGACAGTAGATGTGGATGATATTTACCTGCTCTTTCAGCCTCTCCAGACAGAGTTAACCTGTTCAAATCAGGACAGTGTCTACAAGGCATTATCTTTCACATCCTCTTAAGACAAAGTCAGGAAGGACGGTAGGACTAGACAACCAGACAGACAACCAGACAACCAGAAGAAATCAGTGCTAGAGGCAATTTTGTTGTTCAGTTGGGTCAGACTCTTTGCGACCCCTTTTGGGGTTTTCTTAGCAAAGATACTGGAGCGGTTTGCCATTTTCTTCTCCAGTTCATTTTACAGATGAGGAAACTGAGGCAAACAGGGTTAAGTAACTTAGCCAAGGTCATATAACTAGTAAGGATCTGAGGCTAGATTTGAACTCAGGGCTTCCTGGCTCCAGGCCTGTCATTCTATCCCCTGTACCAACTAGATACTACTACTAGAGACAATACAGTTGTTAAAAAAAACACTTGGAAACTGATCTTCAAGAAAAATCAAAATGGGAAAGATTTTTTTTTTTAATGGAAAAGCTCATGGATGTTGTTCTTAATGGGGGAAAAGAAAGGAAAGGAGGATATAAGCATATAGCACCTACCTCGTGCCAGGCTCTGTGCTAAGCTCTTTACGAATATGATCTCATTTGATCCAGACAACAACCCAGGGAAGTTGGTGCTATTACTAGCCCCATTTTACAGTTGACAAAACTGAGACAAACAGGGTTAGATAACTTGCCCAGGGTCACACAGCTAGTTCTGAGGCTGGATTCGAACTCATCTTGCTGACTCCTGGCCTGGTGTTCTACCTAGCTGCCTCAAGGGAGAATAAGCAATGGAATCAAACTAAAATAAAAACAGGGACCACTAAACTGATATTATCTAGATGTTATTGTATTTTTAATTTATTTATTTGTTTGTTTTGTTTTTTTATTTTAAATTAATTTTGTCAAATATTTCCCGATTACATTTGAATCTGGTTCAGACCATAGTTGGGAGTGTTGTGGGCTGCACTATAACCTGCCATGTGTTTGACATTTCTGGTGAAAAGAACATGGATAACCTGTCGTCCATATGCCTGCTTTCTCATAGCTATAAAACCTTTGAGGATAGTCTATATACGCCCTAAGGGCAAACATAAACTTCAGCAAATAGGAGGGCATTCACATATAAAATCGTATCTTTATCATTAGATAATCGCCTGAGAAGCACAGCAAATACGAGACCTTGCTATCTGTCTACTCTAACCAGGTCCTTAAACTTAAACCTTAAACAAACAAACAAACAAACAAAAAACAACTGAATGATGCAGTCAGGATCCAAAAAGATCTTGGAATATCTCTAATAAAATTAGATTCCCTTAGTTAATGGGGATAAATAGAAAGTCTTACATTTCTGTTCAAGAAATTGATTTCATGAATATAAGATGGAGGCGATACAGCTAGATGTCTCCCCCATCTTTAAAAAACCCTCCTCCTTGATTCTCCTGTTCCCCCTCCTTCAGATATCATGCCACATTCCTATGCCATTTCATAGCCAAACTTTTGGAAAAATTCCTCTACAACATTTGTTGCCCCTACTTCCTTACCTCCTACTCACTGAGTCACATTTCAGATTTAAAGGGACCTTGGTGGTCATACAGTGTAAAACAAGGTGGAATCCTCTATATGACATATCAAACAAATGGTCAACAAACCCTTGCTTGGGGGGCAACTAGGTGGCGCAATGGATAGAGCACCGGCCCTGGATTCAGAAGGACCTGAGTTCAAATCCAGCCTCAGACACATAACACTTACTAGCTGTGTGACCCTGGGCAAGTCACTTAACCCCACTGCCTAGCCAAAAACAAAAAACAAAAACAAACCCTTGCTTGAAGGCCAACGTTAAGGGGAATCTACTAGCTCCTGAAGCAGCCTATCTGACTTTTGAATAGTTCTAATTGTTAGGAGGGTAGCAAGGTGGCACAGTGGATAGAGTGCTGGCCCACTTATCATGAAGATAAGTCAAGAAGACTTATCTTCATGAGTTCAGATCTGGCCTCAGACACTAATTGTGTGGCCTTGGATAAATCACTTAACTGTGTTTGCCTCAGTTTCCTCATCTGTAAAATGAGTTGAAGAAGGAAATGGCAAACCACTCCAGTATCTTTGCCAAGAAAACCCCAAATGGGGTCACGAAGAGTCAGAAACAACAGAACAACAACAATTGTTAGGCAGTATTTCCTAAAATCAAGCCTAAATTTCCTTCTTTGTACTTCTACCCACTGGTCCTAGGTCAAGCAGAACAATCCATAGGATAATCCTTTCAAATATTTGAAGTCATTTATCCTGTCTTCCTTGAGTCTTCTTTAGGCTAAACACCCCCAGTTCTTTCAATGGTTCTTCACATGGCATGAATTTGAGGCACTTGGCCATTCTGGATACCTTCCTTGGGATACTCTCCAGCTTATGAATGCCCTCTCTTCCATTAGATTGTGGGCTCCTCAAGGGCAGGAATTGTCTTTTACCTTTCTTTGTATCCCTACAGCTTACCACAGTGCCTGGAACATAGGTGCTTAATAAATGCTTTATTGATTTTATTCAATTTCCTGAAATGTGGGGACCAGAACTGAATACAGTACTCCAAATGTGGTCTGACCAGGGCAGGCTACCCTGGAGTTAACAGCTCCTTTTTTGTGTAAGCTGTGCTCTCTTAATGCAGTCCAAGGCTACCTTTGATCCTTTGGCAGGCCCGTCACACTGTTGATTGATGTTGAAGTGTGCTCTACTAAAACCTACAGAACTTTTTCAGACAAACTATCTAATTGTACCTCCTCCATCTTATATTTATGAAGTCAGTTTCTTGAACATAAATGTAAGACTTTGTATTTATCACCTTTAAATAAGAGAATCTAATTTTATTAGTCATTCCAAGTGCATCATTCAGTTTGTTAGCTATCCTTCCTAGCTTTGTGTTTATACTACCTATAACTTTATCTATATTTATTTATTTAAAACTATATTACTTTATTTATAACAATATCTAATATGCTATATATACTATATCTATATCTATTTTATATCTATATCCACTATACAATATCTACTTTATATCTATATCTACCATACTATATATACTATATCTACCTTATATCTGTCTCTACTATACTATATACACTATATCTATATCTACTTTATTTATATCTATATCTACTATACTATATCTGTATCTACTTTATTTATATTTTAAGTCATTGATAAAAATATCAACCAGGCTAGGGTCAAGCACAGATCCCTGTAGCACTCCATAGGAGACATCCTTCTGAGATGACTTTGAATCACTGTTGACTACTCTTTGGGTTTTGCCATTTAACTAGTACTAGATTCACCTAATTGTACCATTGTCTAGGCCAGATCTTTCCTACAATGGTAGCATTAAAGATTATGAAGTTATTTGGTAAAACCTAGGTAAACAATGTCTACTGTATTATGCCTTATTTATTAATTTGGTAACTTTCAAAAAAGGAAATAATATTCATCCTGATGAAGCCATTGAGATCACTGTTTCTTTTTCTAGATGTTCACTAAATCATCACTTTAATAATAGGTTCTAGAATTTTACCAGGAATCAGTCAGGCTCACTAGACTATAGTCTACTCTCCTAGTATCCACAGTGCATGCTAGACCATGCCCAATTTTCCTTTCCTCTATCTTCCATTCTTTTTCCTTTTGTGAAAATTGAGATATTTATCCTTCTCTAGTCCTGTCGCACCTCTCCTCTCTTCTGTGGCTATGAAGTATCACTGAGAGAGACCAAATTCCCTAGGTGTTAGATTTCATTAGAAAAGCCTATAAATGTGATAAGTGTCCTAAAGAATTCACATATCAATCAAGTTTTCATGGCCATCATAAAATCTGAGTAGAGAAACCCTAGGAATGTGATGAGCTTGGCAAAAGGTTCAAACAAAAGAGATCTTGATCTCACTAGTTGTCAATCGATCCATATGGAGGAGAAATTTTATCAATGAATTTAATTTGCCAGAAGCTTCATTTAGACAATAGTCCCGAACATTCATAAGAGTCCATTCAGGAGGGCTAGCTAGGTGGCACAGTGGATAGATCACCAGTCCTGGAGTCAA